GTGGGGTGGGGTGGGGGAGGGTTGTGGACACACTTGTGTATTGTCAACAGAAGTAGACTTGACTGACTACAATTGAGCATTCTGAGAAAGTGGTGTTGGACAGTTTCAAATTTCTGGGAGAAAAAACTGTCATGTGCACATTTACAGGTGCATCTTGTCACACTATACCTGTTCAGTATTACAGGAGGGTGTTGGGAATATTACTAAAGATCTAGGTGTTGTGCTGCCTTCATTGCTGACAGCATCAAGATACCATTTGATCCATCCTCAAGATCTGATTACCTTACTCAATATCTGCAAGAAAATACACTATGAATGAAAGCTAGCAGCCATATTTAATCTAATGTAAAGATCACTGGTGATTTGTGGGGGGAAAACTAGAAGATATGTGCAGATACTATTTTCCACTTCATCAAGAAGTGAGACATTCTTTCAATTATAAAGAACTAAGACAATGTGTTGCTTGTTTTCTGAATACAGACCAAGCAATATATCATCTACATCTTTGTCATACCCAGTTCCTTCTTCTGAGATGTACTGTACACAAAGCGTAATCTTTAATTTTTCTAGAAATTAATATTGGTAACTAGTTTGTTATCTACATCTACAATATTTTGCTGCAATGTATACTGGCTTTCCATTTCCATGGAATTGTCATGGCGCAGGGTCCAGTAGGATAGCTGTGATCTTCCTAAGGCCCCCTTTACCGTGCCAAGTTGACCCAATGGGCACCCTCAACTCTTGCCCGCCACGTCTTTGATGATAAAATATATATTTGGGAGGCTGCCTTTTAAACCCTTTAGGTCACGTTTTTGCTGGACACTCGGACCCCGTGGATTCCCGGAGCCCTGGTAGGTCCCGCTCCAAGATTGATGGTACAACGGGTGTTTCGCGGCACCGTAGCCTTATGGGCTATGCGTGGCTCCTACCACCCCTTTACCACACCCTAAGTCTTGCAGGTGGAACCAATGTTGTTCAGTCTGGGCCTTGGTATAATTTGGCCTCCCTTGTCCTCTCTGGGCCCTGCCTCTTTCAGTCTACGCCCTCGCTAGCGTGAGGGCTCTCCACGGCCCTGTCTCACTCTGTGCCCTCTCTGACTCTCAGGCTCTCCATGGCCCTATCCCATACTACACCTTCCTGGCACTCAGGCTCTTCGCAGACCTGTCCTGCACTACGCCTTCCTGTTGCTCGGGCTCTCCACTGACCTGTCCTGCACTACGCCTTCCCAGCGCTTCTCGCTGCCCCCCTTTCTGGGGTTTCTCGCTGCCCCCCTCTCTGGGGCTGGGGGCTGGTGCACCCCAAATGCTGCGCCCCTGCTTGCACTGGGGTGTCCACACTGCTGTGGGTCCCCTATGAGGCCTCCTCCATCCCCTAATAGCCTCACCCAAATCACCAGTTTTAAGCAGTAAACAAAACACAAGCCCCTTGGCTATAACATTACCTGAAGCCGCCCGGCTATAACAACGTTACTCAAACCACCCCAAGGATGATCCATCCTTTACCAGGCTCGGGGCTGTACCTGCGGTCAGGCCTCTCCTCTCAGCTTGTTCAGGGAGAGCTCCTTCCCCCCTGGCTGCTGGCAGGGAACTCCCTGCCTGGCTTCAGCCATGGAGTTTATATGTGCCAGGCCCTGCCCCCCTTCGGTCAGCTGACCGCTGGCAGGTGTGGGTCACTAACTACTCTAGTTGCCCTGGTGACCAACAGCTGGGCTCCTGACTCACTGCTAGGGCTTTTTCCCTAGCAGTTTCCCCTCTTTAGGAGCAGGGCACCTTAGTGCTCTGCGACAGGAATGAGTCTTAATTTGAGGGGAATTCACTAAAATTTGAGGATTCATAAAAATAAATATTAGCAATATAACAGGAGCATATGGGCAAAGAAAGAAATCAAGCACTCTGTAAATAGCATAAAAAATATTCACATGGTAATATTTCCAAGATATTTACTGAGGCAATCAATCCCCTGGGCTGGCTCCAGCAGACTTACTTGAGGGTCCTGGGGCCGCCTGGGGCTCTAGCAGCAGTGATTGGGCCTCGCAGAGCCTGGCCGGCAGCTGGAATATGGCTCTGGCCAGCCAGGCTCCAGTTTCAGGAGGCACATGCAGTTGTCACATGCGCCACCCCGTTTTTTTCTGGGATTTCCCGATATCTAAATTTGTCGCCACACTGCAAATATGCAGCATGGAAAACCAAATCACATGTGCAGGGTGCATTTTGCAGCCCATCAAAAGCCTTTGAGGGGCCACAAAATGCACGTGCACGCTTGTGTGGATGCAGCCTAGCAGTGCAAACAGATGACTGAAAATATTTATCGATATATTTTAAATGTCAATATTAATAATAAATATAAAACATTAAATACATACCTTTTCAAGGAGGTAGCCAATGACTAAAAAGCCTTTTCCACCAAGCATTTGCTCTTGCATGGCTACTGAACTCTTAAGAAGTTCAACCAGGAAAGCCAGTAAGGTAGCACTGCATGTAAAGTACAAATATTTATCAGATTTCACAACTTCTAAATCAGTCTTTATTGTTAAATTTTCACTATCAGCAGCTATAAGGTGAACAGAAACAAGCTTAAAGTGAACATTTTAAAAAACAGAACAGAAGTTGCACATTTTATAATGACTAATTTCCCATCAATCATTCACATAACACAAAACTTGAAGTGGAAGATAGTATTCAAAATAGAAGCAAAAAATCATCTTTGCCATCTCCACTGGTTTCACCAGGACTGTGCCATGTTTTAAACACCCATTCCTAGAACTTGCAGTCCTAGTCAAAGTCTTGTGCAGCTGAAAGGGACAGGAACTGATGAGTGAAATCCAGCTAACAGTACTAGATTGGTGCAGGTATGGGCTGTGTTGACAATCTTTTGAATGTTACTGTTAAATAATTTCAGAGCAAAATCTGTGGCCATTTCTGCACCACCATTCAGCACTTTTAGACTTTATAATTACTAATAGAACAGGGACAAGGCCTAAAGCTGCTACACTCGTACATGGGCCATGCTGCCCAGTCTGAGCACAACAGGACTTGTATTGAAGGCTCTCTGTATTATTTCCTCCAAAATAACCAGGAGGGCAAAGTCCAAGCTTCAAGGCCTGCCCAAACAATAAGGTTCATGTGCATCCTGGCATAGGCTGAGAATCCATGTCATGTATTTGGGAAAATGTTAAGAGGATACAAGTCCAAGACCAGCAAGAAAACCACTCAGCAGCCCAACAGTGTTCAACACCTCTCAGAGTGATGTGCTTAAACAACATAGCAAGACACAAAAGTCACAAAAAGCTACAATTTGCAGGCACACCAAAAGATAGGGGACAATTCAGAGGACAGACTTGCCATTCAAGTGAAGAGAATGAGAGCCAGGAGAGGCAGAGAGAGAACCATGTGACAGGTTAAGAGAAGAAGAAATCATTTTAATAGAGCTGGTCAGAGGTGATATAGAACGGAAATGAAATGCACTGATGATGCAGAGAGAGAGAGAAAGGGAAAGATATGTTGTCACTAGTTGTTGTGAAGTACACAGGAAGGGAAAAACAAATTCAGGGGAGGGAGAAAAAGAGAAAAAAATATTTTAAGAGCCAATTTTTTACAAATAACACATTGGAACTGAGGGCTGCATGTAATACAACGAATTAAAAACAGAGAAAGGAGCTAAAAACAATTATCAGTTTTCTAGAAAGAAACTCATTTAAAATTCCCTGAATATGCAGATACATGTTTATCTTTCTGTGTATATTTGGCTTTATTATAAAGATTCTCAGTGGAAAAAGAAAATTATGCAGTGGCAACTATGGAAGAAATGTAGAAAACATCCAATCTGCCCTTTATAAGTTTGAATTTTATTAAAAGTATCCATCCAGCTCAAAGTTCTATTGCTATTCAAACACAACTTCTGAATTTTTTAAAAACATCTTTTGAGACCACTTAATCCATGCCAGCACCAAAAATTTTTCAATACGCTCAGGGAAACGGGACAGATTATTCTTGGTGAGCAGTGTTGGCATATGAAAGTACATGCTGTGACCACAAAAAAGCATTTTGTTTTGCTTCATTATTGTAAGGTCATAATAATCAGTCTCAAACCACCTACAGTATTCTTTACAAATTGTCAGCAGTAAAAAAATATAGACAACATCCGGTTACTGTACTCCAAACCTTTTCATAAAATCAGCTTGTCAAACTGTCATACTAATTTCAAAACAGGTTAAATTCACCAGCTTTATTTTTTTCTATCTTAATAGAAGCTTCTACAATTTTATTTAACATCTAAAACAATCTTTTAACCATTTAATTTAAGCAACAGATCTGAAGATGATTCTCATATCTAACATGAACAATTTTACTCTGTGGCAGTTCATGGGAGGCATTTAAGTGTTTCTATATAAATGATAGATATGAAATATTAGATTGGTCTATATTTAGAAGTAACTAAAATATGCAGAAGCTAAGGCAAAAATCCTGCACAGATTTTACATCTTTACTTAGTATTACTGCAAGTAGTTCCAGTATCTTCAACAGAACTACTCGTCATATGCTAAAAGCAAAAGCATAAATCTTTAGGAGTTTAAGGTCCAGAACTATAAACATGATAGGACTGATACCATAATCAGAAATTATAACAGCTAATGAGTTTAACATGGGGTGAAAATAAAGCTGTCTCATGGACGTGACACTGATGTGAGACATAATACTTGGCTTCTGTTTCCAAATTCTATCAGTGCCCTACTGTGTGACCCCTTGCAAGTATTTTGTTTCTATCCATTTATCCGTTTTATCCACTTGGATTGTAAAACTCACAAGTAATGGATGTAATCTTATTACATCCTCATACAAACACACACAATGAGTCCCAATCTTACTTGAGGTCTATGAAAAACACTATAATATAAATGATCTACCACAAAAGCTTTCCCTTCATGAGAAAAAAACTATAGCAGTATATATGTATTAAAATATTTGAGGCAGAACATATTAATGGACCGCTGCAACCTCAAATAATGAAAATTCTAAGTACTAGAGAAATTAGAGGTTAAACTGAACCATCTCACATTTTCCTACAAATTTAAAGCAATTTAGGACATTACGGAATAAGGATACAACAGTACTGATGAACAGTAACACCCAACATCTGGTGAAACTGGTGAAAAAATGGTTGATTTATAATAGGTTTGCTTGACTATACAGATCTATTCCTCTGTGCAGTAACAGTCTCTCTAAATCTCAAATGGTATAAGTAAGAAATACAGGGCTAGTTCACAATTTTTTTTAATTGCCACTGAATATACTAAATGAAGGAAATGATCAAAAGAAAGGGAAAAAACCCAAAAGATTATATACTTTGAATTTGTTCCAAAAGCCTTGCTTAAACTTGCTCCTGTCATGATCTTGGGAAAGGAAAAGACTATACTAAAAAGAAAACAGTGGCCAAAGAAAATATTAATTAAAATAAAAAGGAAAGAGAAGAACCCACTTTTGTAATATGTAACATACATGCTTTGTACTACAGAAAGTTCAGTCTGCTTCCCTGGAAGGATCTAACAGTTGTACAAATCTCAAGATACACTCCCTATTGCCTTTTAATATCTGTAAAGACTGACTTTCCAACAGAGCACATAAATAAGACTAAAATAAATAATTGCTCACTCTAACACCATATTCTGATCCTAGAAGATACTGATCAGTTCATTTACAAGACTGGATCCATAGTTTTTAATGTATTTCTGGGGACATCTAACAAAATCATTTAATCATATTATACTGGCCATTCAAAATGTTAGTAAATGTGTTATACCTGAAAAATTGAAGTTTATAATCAATTTTTTCAGCAGAACCATACAGCCAAAAGGATGCTTTAACCGTGGTTACTGTTGCCATAGGGGAAATAATATTTATTAGAAGGCCACCTTCCAAGATGAATATTTTCAAACAGAATTTAACAAACTTACCAGAAACTAAAATGCATCAGATTGCTGCAGGGTTCACATTAAACTTGCAAAATTCTGTGCATTGCCATACAAAATTTCTCTCCATTCTTGCCTATTTCCAACTCCCCTAGATACAAAGGCAAATATAAAGGATACTTCAGCCCATTCCTATATCTCCTCTATACCATGTCCTGTCTAGGACACAACAGTTTGTCTGCACAGCAACTAAATTATAGGATACACACAATGGCAAGTATATGTCAACCAATACTGAGTCAAACACATACTATGGGGTTATGGGGTTTTTTGCCAAACAGAGGAGGATCTTAGGGCAAGAAAAGGTTTCTAGTAGTACTTTTTCATAAACAAAACTAGAAATAAAATTTTCAACTCATAGTATGAAACTCCTATACTTTTCAGTGGATGATACTATACTTCTTATTCTACAATTTAACATTTAATAGAGACAACAATAGTATCTGAAAGACTATGCATCTTATCATGGTTAACACCTGAAACTTAGTTACACTGATAATCTGCTACAAAATTCTCTTCCAAATGTGCCAGTGTATTCTTGGAAGGTCAGTAAAACATTTAGCAAGGGAGGTGAGTATGTTTATTATAAGTTGTCCATTACTTACAATGTGTGAGCTCACCATGCAAATATGGTCAAGGATGTCTTTCATACTTGTACTTGTTCATTATTTTCCTGGAGTCCTTTGCCTATGTAACTCAGTCACAATCAACTATTTTTATGGCAAAGGCATTATGAACCCAAGGATATTTATTAGTTAGCTTTTCTTGTAAATTGTTTCCCTCTTCTAGGCCATAGATTAGTACCTAGTATATTTTAATCTTTTGATCCTGCAATCATTTTTCAACATTCCATTCAAAAATGCCATTCCTTAAATTAAAATCTGACATGACAACTTACAACCCCCAACAACAGATTGTAGATATATGACTCACTGTTTTTTCTTGCATACCACACTCCTCCCCTTCTCCCCCTCCCCCCTAAACAAAACATACACTTTAGAAGGTAGAATAAAGAAAAAAGGCAAAATGCTGTCTGCAGGGGATCCTGACTACAGTGGCTGTAGCGATGACAAAGTTAACACCGTAGCTCTAACCGTGAAGGTTTAATTCTATCCTTTTCCTCCCTGAGGCTGGCAGAGGCAAAAGCAAGTCAGCCTGCATGCAGCAGTTTCACCCTGCTTCTACTCCAATTTTCAACTGACTTTTTGGGAAAAGGTGAGTAAATAATAATTCATCCAGAATGTGTTGGGTTAGGGTTAGGGTTGTGAAAAGTCACTATCTTCATCAATACCTCTACTTTTTCTTCTTTCCAGCAGTATTTCCTTCATATATTTTATCTTGTTAACTAACTTTTATCTTGGACTCTGTCACAACCCAAAGTTGTGGGGTTTTTTGTTTGTGTGTGCTTCGGCATCGCTAAATTGTGTTCCCGCTAAATTGCAGCTCTTTTGCACGGTGGAGTGTTCTGTTGCAATTAAGAACCCGCGTGCAGGAGCTTTTCCCGCC